CCTGCTAAGCAGTCACATTTAGTTACTTTGACAACCCGGGAAGGGGGGGAGGAGTGCTTGCTGGCTCAGTTCACCTGGGTTATACTCCACCAACAAACAAAACAAGTCTCCAAAAAGGCCACCAACTTCCAGTAGCATTCCTTTGTTGCTTTGAGCAGAGGAAGAAGGTAAAATAAATATTTTTGAGAAGTCAGATTCTAGACACTATAAATAGCATAATGGAATTTTCTTCTGAAGCTGTCTTTTGCTAATAATGAGGTGACTTTTTTTTTTTTTAAGTTCAAGATAGACTGTATAGTAATGACTCCAGGATGGCAGAGTATGGGTTCTAAGAAACTTGTTACTCTTGCATCTAAAATAACATTCTGCAGAAAGACATCACATTGTTAAGGTAGAACCTCAATGAAGGTGTCAACATCTGTTGAATGAGTAGCAGTGTACATATGTACCTGCTATAGTATTATCATACTTATCTATATACTTTAAATATTCATAATAAAAAACTTAAAGCAATGGATGAAACCATCCATCAAATCTAGAAATATGCAAAACCTTTGATCCTGCAAGTCTACACCTAAGAATTTTTCTTAAAGATATACATTTGCGCCCTGACCGGTTTGGCTCAGTGGATAGGGCATCGATCTGCCGACTCAAGGGTCCCAGGTTCGATTCCGGTCAAGGGCATGTACCTTGGTTGCGGGCACATACCCAGTAGGGAGTGTTCGGGAGGCAGTTGATCAGTGTTTCTCTCTCATCGATGTTTCTAACTCTCTATCCCTCTCCCTTCCTCTCTGTAAAAAATCAATAAAATATATTTTTTTAAAAAAGATATACATATGCAGGGGGGGTGGGAGTGGCCCGGGGAAGGGGTCGATGGGAGAAAAAAGGAGACAGATGTAATACTTTTAAACAATAAAAAAAGATAACCGATATACCTATTTCTTCATTTCTGACTTATTTGCTCAGACATTTTCCAAAAATTTGCATTGACATGTTTGTTTCTTTAATTATTAATAAGATTTTTAAAATGTTTTGATATTAACTCATACCTTGAATGCTATAATTATCTACTGTCAGTTGTGGTGTTTTTTTCATTTCTAAGCATTAGGGTTTTTTTATTTGTTTTGTTTTTATTTTTTTATTATCTAAAGTTTTACATATGTCTCCTTTTTCCCAAATTAAAACCACCCCCGTCCCCCAGCCATTCCCACCCTGGGCAAGCCCCCACCGCCCCAGTGTGTGTGTCCATTGGTTATGCTAACATGCATGCATACAAGTCCTTTGGTTGCTCTCTAACCCCCTCCTCCCCTTACTGTCAGTTGTCTTTTACTGTGTTTGACCTGATTTTTATTGTTTGACCTGATTTTTATGTAATAAAATATAAAAATTTTGAGGGGTTAGAAATTGTTATGTAATACATTTTTTAATGAGTTTCTTATGTGATCAATAATCTGTTTTCTAAATTACTTGAAACTTATTGACATTAAATGAATTAATAAAAAATTTACAGATCAAGTTAATAAAGTAAACACTTTTTTATTTTTTATTATTTATTTAATTTTTTTTTAAATACTTTTTATTGATTTCTTACAGAGAGGAAGGGAGAGGGATAGAGAGTTAGAAACATCGATGAGAGAGAAACATCAATCAGCTGCCTCCTGCACACCCTCTTTTGGGGATGTGCCTGCAACCAAGGTACATGCCCTTGACTGGAATCGAACCTGGGACCTTTCAGTCCGCAGGCCGACGCTCTATCCACTGAGCCAAACCGGTTAGGGCGAAAGCAAACACTTTTTAAAAAAGATATACATATGCAAAGTGACAAGTATACAACGAAGTTTTTCATAACAGCACTTTGTAATAGCAAAAGATGGGCAACACCCTAACTGTTCATCAACAGAGAACTGGCTAAGTAAATGATAGCATATTCATATGACAGAATAATAAGCATGGAGGGAAAAAAGAGGTCTTTATGGGCAGATATGGTCTTTATGAGTTGATCTGGATGAATCTCCAAGATTTAAAAAAAAAAAAAAAAGGTCAAAACAGAGTATATGTTAGCTCTCAATTATATTTTTTAAAGAAGGAGAATGAATAATAGAATTTAGGTTCCATAAAGACATGGGTTTTTACCTATTTATATATTCACTGTTTATCCCCAGAGCCTTGCATAGTACCTGGCACATACCAGTACTCAATAATATTTGCCAAATTAATTTTTTAATTCATAAGATATGTGAATTAATAAATGCACATATCATCTATGGAAAGAAGTGTAAGAAACCGATAATACTGATTGTCTTCAGGGAGGAGAAAAGGATGGCTGGGGTGAAAACAGATTTTTCACTGTAGATATAGTTTGTACCTTTTGAATATTCAATTATGTGGATGTGTTACCTAGTCAGAAAATAAATGAAAGTTAAAAGGCCAAAAATGTGAGGTTCTGTATCCTGATCCCAGCACTGCCACTGGCCACATACCCTTCTCACACAATTATTCATACATTCTACAAGCCTACACCCTGTATCCCTGCCCTGTGCAAATTCTGTAGAACACTGACATGAACTCAGTCATTTTCCTCAAACAGCCTACAATCTAGTGAAGGAGATAAGCAAGTGACCTAACACACGACATAGTGAGGCTGATATTGATAAAAGTTCACAGGAAAAAATGGGGTGGGGGGCATGTAAGTCCAGGAAAGGCTTCTGGAAGGAGATGATGTTAGAACTGGGACTACAATGAATTAGATTAATGGGGACAGGAGTGTTGTAGACAGTGGAAACAACGAAGAAACAGGAGAGATGATGCACTTAAGGAACATACAATACTCTGATATGGATAGAGTACAGGTACTCTCAATCCTGGAAGGATGACAGCAGGACATGAAAGCTTTGCATGTCATGCTACAGAAACCATAGTTCAACCTAAAGATAACGGAAAGCCACTGAAACGTTTAACTTAGGAATGACTATTCTTTTATGATCAAATTTTAATTTTAGAAAGACTACCTAGCAGTAATGAAAAGGAGGGAAACAAGATGAAGGCAGGGGGACCATTTAGGACACTGTATGGTTATATGCTGAGAAACAACAGAATCTGAACTAAGGAAGTAGTATTTGGGATGGGAAGAAAGAAAGGGATGTGAGAGTTGAAGTAGAATGATACAGATAAAAGGTTTCCTGGGGTGAAGAAAAGTGTTCAGTTTGGAACATGTTGAGTAAAAGATACCTATACAATATCCAAAAGAAGTCCTCCGGTACTCAGAGATAAGTGTCCGGAGCTCAGGAGAGAGATCTGGCCCCGAGATCTGAGCCAGCAGTTGAAGCCGTTAAGTGTAAATAAGGTCACTCAAAGGTCAGGCAAGATCAGGGTTGAGCCCTAGCCAGTGTGCCTCAATTGGTTGAAGCTTCATCCCGTTTACCTAAAAGGGCTCAATTCCCGGTAATGGGCACACCCCGAGGCTGCAGGTTTGATCCCCGAGGCTGCAGGTTTGATCCCCATCAGGGCGCATGCGGGAGATGGCTGGTGTTTCTCTTTTCTCTCTCTTTCTCTCTCTCTCTCTCTCCCTTTCTCTCTCTCTCTCTCTCTCTCTCTCTCTCTCTCTCTCTCTCTCTCTCCTCTCCCCCCTTCCTTACTCTAGCTTTTTTCTTTTCTTTAAGATTAGGGCTGAAAAAATTACCATTGGATTTGGCTATTAGGGGGTGATTGTTGAACTTGACAATGCAATAGCAATTTCAGGAGAGTGGAGAGGGTTGGAAGCCAAAGGGCAGGTATATACACCACTCTTAAGAATCTTGGGAGAAACAAAGAACATGGCTATAAAAAGGGATTCTCACTTAACATGTCTTGTATTCTATTTCCTCTCCCATAATACATCTGAATATTATTTTAAGAAAAATAAGTAGGGAAATGCACATAAAATAGTGTTAGCACTTTTTGGGGTATTAGGTATTGAATGATAATAATCCAGGGTGTTATTATTACTATATTAAAGTTGGTTCTATTTACTCCATAAATCACCAAATATTTGGACACTTATATGCAAAATACAGAGCTGGCAATGTGGGAGGTAACATGGAGTTTATGATACAGTCTTCAACCTCCAGGGGCTTCTAATCTCATAGAAGAAAATAATGCATACATATAAGTAGGATATTAAAGTACAATATAAGTGATAAAGAAAAAAATGACCATTAGCATTTAGGAAACTAGGAACTAACTTCCAGAGGGGTGATCAGAAGATTTCCTAGAGGGCTTTGAAGTAGATTTGAACAATGG